CTGTATGAACTGTTATGTATGTTGTTTCCGTCACGTAGTAATTCTGTTTATCTGCCGAGATAGACTGAAATAGTTTTTGATACGGGACATGTGTGAACGTTTACTTCCTATCAAATATAAAAAAACATGTAATCTCACAAAGTTGCTCGAAAAATGGTTTGAATATTCACATGCAGGCTCAAGCAAAAATAAGCAATAAGACATTCAAGATGAACTCTCTTGCGCAGAAAATGTGGTTAGAAATATTTCTTTGTTCTATTACGCACTGTATTGTCTGAACCTCTCAACCGTTAGAAAGAAAACATTTTATCTTCAAACAATATTGCAAATATCACTATTTGTTATTCCAAAATAATGGAACAAAATTCATTTTTCCCTGTTCAGATTTAAAAAAATCGCTGGAACAGGTCAATTAGTAAATAGAAATTATCACTTTTCAGCGTTATTTTCTATTTTTTTTTTATTAGAACGCTCTATTTTATAGTATAAATACAGGGTGTGGCGTATATAATCTATAAAAATTAAACTACATCTTCCTGATGATATTTGTAATAGAAAACTCTTATACGAAAAAGTTCTATCTTCGCGTTTTTTTTGTAAATTAAAGTTCAATTATTCATCGAAAATGAAGGCCGACCCTGTTTTATTTATTAAAAACTTTGAAAATGTTTTAATGCGACCCGAGATGCAACCTTATAATTTAAGTCGGTATAATAAAAAATTGTCAAACATACATTGTCAAAAAAATTGTGCAGTCAAGTGATTTTGTATTTGTATTGAATTCATTATTCACTTAATTATTAAATATTAAGCATCGTCCATCTACCCATCAGTGTTAAAAAGTGGAAGATTCAAGATAAAAGTTTTTATTTTGTTTCCACGATAGTGACTGTAATTTTTATAAAGAAGTAAAAAATAAGAATAGCGTGCCGATTACATTAAAAACGAGATTCTTATTTGTTACTTTGCTTAATTTTTTAGTTTGTGCACAAACTAGGTTTACAATGAACCGAGAAAACAATGCATTTACTATTTTTGAACGTGTCTATATGATGTTAGTGTATGGGGCAGCCGGAGAAAATGTGCTCGCGGCGACTAGGTTGTACCGAGAACGAGGGCCACGACGTCACCCCGTATGTGCAAATACAATCCTACAGTGCGTTCAGCGACTGCGAGATACGGGAGGTGTTATTCCTCGAGGAGAAGGACGTTAAGATGTTGAAGATGCAGTGTTGGAAAATCTTGACGAAGATCCCACAATTAATACTCGACGACTCGCACAGAAAGTGGAAACCTCATCTCGTACTATTGTAAGAAATATTCTTTGTTCGTGTAGAAGCTGTGCATGCATCGTCTGATTGCAGCGTTTTCACTCATTCTCCATTTTTATGAAATATGATTTCCAAACTAAAAATTTTTTAAATACATCTCTGGTTATTACATACAGCTGGTGAATTGTGGAGGATCTGCTGTGCGAATCTCACATTTCCGCTCATCTGAATTTGCTGGTTTACATATGCTCTGTTTATATACCTAATACATTTGGTACATTTCCTCGTGATACATCACACTTTAATTATTTTACTACGTTACTGTGAAGTACTTTACAGATTTCTTTAAAGTTAAGACGATTCGACCTTCCTTGAAAGTTCACTGTTTTTATAGTTTCCATAATTCTACAATGTTTACATTTGTTTTAGTCTATTATTTTTTAAGCTTTGTCTTATACAATGTATGTAACATATTAGTTTAAAGAAAAGAAAGCAAATTTTTACTAAGTCATATATAAATTCGCGTGTTGTATAATATCGTACTTAAACTGGATGTTAAAGTGTTCCAATGAAAGTTTTAAGAAAAAGTGAAATTTTTGTTTTTAAGAATGAACGAATAAACAATGATCGTCAATGTGATCTGTTTTACTTCCTATAAATGTTCGCTGTTGTAAGTACTGTACTAGAAAGTTATTATGATTAATATGTAAAATCTGTTTAATTAACATTAATATACTTGGCATCTGTATATCTGGTTTCATTTGAAAGCTAATGTCGTAGCACTTAATAGTAACTTAATCAGTATCATTTATCATACATGAAGCTAATCAAAGAATACTATTTTCTTTTTAGGCCAAATGCAGATCAGTTTTTATTTTAAGTTGGTAACAATTTTCTGAAGATTCGTTTATAGGATTATAGCATTCATTTATAGTCGAATAATATTATACCAAGTAAAAGTAAGGGATCTAGAATTATAATGTAAAACAAATGTGTATTTTATTATGTGTATTTTCATATCATTCATTTTAATGTGTTATGAAATTACACTGTATTTTTACTTTCAAAAAGGTAATAAGGCGGTAAATGTAACCGGTTTCGTTGTATAATAACAGTAGTGTAAACTCAGAATTATTAGGTGGGCAATCCTAATTGCGGAAACCAAAATATGAAGTTATATTAGAAAAGATATCAGTGGTTTTAATATTTCCTTCATCAACGTACCATGCAATTTTTGCTGTATGATACTGTAATTACAATTAAACAGTTAGTAAGCAGCAGAAGAGAAACTTAGAAAACATGATACACACCTTCCTTTAAGACAGAATATATATATTTTTTTAATATCTACTTATCACATTGATTCGTTGAAAACTTTTTTGGAACCGCTGATTCCACCGATAGATGTACAAATGAAGTGCATGCGTTTTTGGAAATCGTACATAAAAAGATGCTATTATCTCGCAGTTTTCAACAACGTTTCCAGACGTTACTATATCTATTAATTCATTATTACTGTTATTGAGACGAAGAGACAAAGAAGCGGATAACGCCAATACAGCCAATATTAATTTCAAACTCACTTGTAACGGTTTTGATAATTGAAAATGCTTATTATTAACGTATTTTACCTACCATTAAAAATTTCCTGTGCTATTTGCGGAGTCGTTCGTTCTCTTACAACGCCGTCTCCTCGAAGTTGGCCCTGTTGAGATTGTTGCTGTTGAATTCACGGTAACTGCTTCATAAAATATGAACAAAACAAACAATCAATATTTATATTTAAATAACTAAGTATTCTGAGCAGTGCTGTTGAAATTAAACATCGGTCTTCGCGAAAAGATTTTAGATCACAGTCGATACCAATCTGTCAAATATGTATACCCGTGAATGAATTTATTTTCATAGCTTAGTAAAACTAAAAAAACTGATGAACAACTAAATCTGCCTGCAATTTCAAGGCAGTTCAAATAATCAATCACTTACAATCTAATTATCTACCTCATTAATGGTTTACTTTACGATCCGCATCATCAATCATTCAAATATCTTCGGCTACTTGATAAAATTTGTCTAATAACTAAAAGGTAATTGGTCGGAAATTGCGGCTTGTTCTGTCATTAATTCATGTAGTTAACAATTTATTTCTACTATAAGTAGTGCCAATAATTGTACCAGCATTTCTTCATTATAATTTTTGTGAATAAATAATTGGAAGGTTAGAGCAAAAAAATGAGGTTAATACGAATAATAGTAATATGTTCCTTTTTAGTGCAGCCATAGTTCTCGAAGTATTCGATTTTAACGAAAACGAAACTATATTTAATATTATCAAATTCCTAAGGCAAATTCATCGTTACTATTTTAACAAATATCTATATCACTTATCAAAAACGAGAGATACATCAAATTTAATTATTTTAAGATTACCCATCAGAGTACATGGATAGAGTTGAAAATTATTTTTCATTTTATAAAATTCTAGCCTGTGGGCCGAAATACATATACAGGGTGTTTCAAGGTAACTGCACTAACAACGTTTCACAAAATTGTAAACGTTGCACGGCGTCACCCGGATGAAGAGCAGAAAGTAGCTTAAATTTGTATGGATGCATATCATTAGTTCTTAGCATCCTGTGAATGAACGCTCATGCATGAAATGCCTAAATCTGCGGCACGAGTTGAGGATTCTGGATGAACATTAAAATAGGCTAGCACATTTATCACGTTATCTTCATTTGAAGTTACTGTTTTTGGTAAAATTCTTTCTGCACAAATTCCACCATGCTCTAGTTGATTTGCTAAAATTCTTAACTTTTGTCTGCTCATTGGTGGCAAATTTGGATGTCTCATTAAAATGGAATTATTCAAATTTCATGGCTGAAAACATAGGTACATAGGTATTGCATTGACGAAACCAAGAGAGTTGCACGAACAAAATTTGGACAGGACATAGCTAATACAATACGAAACATCGCCTTAATGTTAAAAATGCTGTCACCGCCGTTCTTGGTGGTGAAAATGTTCAAAATCAAAACATGTGTCTATACGTATTGTGTTTATAAAGACAAAAGGCTCATTATAAATTGGCCAGTTTAATGTAATATGTAATGAGAAATTATTATTTTTAAGATATGAATTGAGAATTGGTTAAAATATTACGAATTTCTTTCTGCCATATGAGAGGACCTGAAATATTTAAAAAATTATAAAAGCGAACGTATCTTGTATTATTATGTATAAACATTTATGAATTATATAAAACAACTTTTCAAAAGAACTCAGGTTTTCACATATCGCATGTATGTGGTCGCTCTAGTAACTTATATGTTTGAACTACAAATAAATTTCCCATACTTTCTTCCATACACGAACACATTGAGAATTCCTTCAATAAACACCATGAAACAATAAACTTCACTTTCCCTATTATGTTAATAAAATGACCGTGAATTAATTAGCAATATGGAAAACAAAAACATTCGAAATGTTATAAATGTGGTGTATTAAAAAATTTATTATTTCCCACAGTTTTCTTACATTGTAGTTTTATGCCTACTCCGTTAACTAAGCAGACAACTTTGGGAAGATAACTAAAATAAATTCCTTACATAGCCCAAACAGGAATATTATACTATTTGTCACTCAACTTTTGAACCATTCTGAAAAGCCCCATTGCTTCTGTTTACAGTTTTCGAGCGCATTCGTGACTTTTTCTTCTTTTTTCAGCTGGGCAGTATCCACGGTGATGACTAGACAGAACACTATCCCGTCGCTGGACGGCGGGAATATGATTAATGCCCTCATCCCTCTGTGGGACATGTGTAACCACACAAACGGAACGGTAAGTGACGTCTAGCCTTTTCGCCACATTATATTCCCTTAAGGAGGTATATCAGATTTACTCAAATGCACAGATGTACTTACTTGAAATTTATATAGCGTATTACCCAGTGCTCCCTCTGACCGTCATATTTTTTTGATTTTTTTTTAATCTAGATCTTGAGATATTGTTGTTAAAAGTTGTTAATTTTAACATAGGTTTATATAGAAACTAATAATTGCATTTCTGTCTGACTTGAGGATTAATGTGGCAACGTCGCAATCAGCTGACAGCAAGGAGGGAATACATTTGAAATACTTGATAAAAACGAAATTGATTTCAAACATATACATTTTTCCTAAATCCAATGTACATTGTTATCAACAATAAATTATCCACAACAGATGAATTTTTGTAATGTTTTTAAAAAACTAAATTAATTAAAAAAAGAGCTAGGAAGCTGTGATATATTGATTGGAATAAAAAGTACAGTTGATAAATCCTTTTAATATATTTAATGGTTTATAAAAACATCATAATCATTACCCAGCAATATTTAGAGTTACATAAAGTTTTCTTTACCTGATTAATATAATTAGTAATACTTGAGATAAAAGCATTTGTACGGAATAACAAAGGAACATATATATTTCTCAGCAAACTTTATATCTAAAAAATTAGTTATAGTTGCAAAACTTTTGTAACATTACTAAAATAGAGATTAAAAACACGAACAGTGAGTAATAATGTAATTTCTATCACAGAACCTTCAAAATTGCATCCAACATTTTCTTTGACTTGAACGAGAGATGGACGCGAGTGTCATTTCATTTCTTTAGAACTAAATTAACATAATTCACGTTGCTTTACCAGTTCACATAATTTACGGAATTTAAATAAAGGATACAAATCTTTGCGAGGATAATACTATCTATTTGCTATATATAATAATTATATTGTACATAGTTTACACACAATACATTTTTGAACGCGTATGCATCTTTACCCGAATTTGACGCGCAATATCTGCGATGTCCGAGGTCTGTAGGTTTGCAGTGTGTACAACTTTAAATCAAATTTATTTTTTTCAAATTGGCAGCGGGTTTTAGTCCCATAAGAAAAGCATAGGACCCCCCCCTTGCTCCTTACTTCCCTCGGACCCCGATATAACTCCTTAAATAATAACTGACACCTCTACTGCATTGGCAATTGGAACAATCCAATTTTGAAATTAATTTTAAATATCCGTTATTTCGCGCCTGTTCCTAGATTTTTTTTTGGAAATTTCGTAACAATGCCTAATTACTGAAAGTACTTATATTTACGAATTTTGAAGAGATATAAATTTAAATGTACCATTTGTGACATGTGTTAGGAAAATGTTCGCTTTTGTAATTATTCACTTTTATGATTAGAAATGTAAGAGTATAATGAGTTTCTGACGAGAATATTATGGGTCAGTTTCTCTTTAAACTCATCAATCTCTAAAATGCATTTTTTGTTCGTTTTCAAATCAAACGCTAATGGACTTTTATAGTTGTTTATCGCCAATTTCTCTGACGAGACTAGTAATTAACGCAAAATTTTCTATAAATCTTACACAACATCATAAAATAATGAGAAACAGCTGTGAAATAGAATCAAAACCTGTCGAGAAGTTACAAAATGAAACAAATCTGCTAACATTTAAATATAATTTCTTGGAGAGATGCGAGAGGCTAATTGGCAACAACTTTTTTTAGATCACTCTAATGCCATCGTCGATTATGCGTGCGCGAGTGTGACACTTTGCTCGGTCGAGTGTATGGCACGTGTTTTTATGGCAGTCAGTAGCATTGTGTATTGTGAGCGGCACGCGGTTCGACCATATATTTAGCCGTTTTTGTCGATCGCAATAAAGTTTTTTGACTACATATACATATAATTTGTAACTACTAACTATAATTACTAAACTAATAGGAGACAATTACATTTCCATATACATTGTTTCCAGATTTCGACTGATTACAATCCTCAGTTAGACAGGAGCGAGTGCCTGGCCCTCAAGGATTTCAAACCTGGAGAGCAATTTTTCATTTTTTACGGAGCCCGCACCAATGCCGATCTATTTATACATAACGGGTAAGTGATCGCGAAATAAGGGCAATCCATCACAAAGAGGAATTATATAAACGGAGAGGGTACTCGGGATGATTAACCATGCCAAGAGCCAAATAAATGATGTTACTTCCCCTTATTATACATAGCAGCGAATATATTAGAAAATATATTAAAATAATGGGGTTCTGGGAAAGTAAATGCTGCTCCTATTGGACAAAGTTGTCTAAAAATTGATTCACTAAGACTTTTTGTTTCATATACAGGGTCTGCCACCGAAAATGACAATTCCGTTTTTTTATTTTTGACTATAAGAAAGTTTCCTACAAGATTTGGTATATAATAATTGTACTATATCGACAGACTTTATAGGCTGCCTCTATATAATTCTTTTATTGATGTATATATAATGATTTTTTTAAAAAAGGTACCTACATATAGTATCCACTTCTTTAGAGAAATTCACTTTCCCTTCAAATACAGAGTCGCTTGATGATGTTATATACAGTTAGTACGCCACTGGTATTTACCACATCAGTGGTAGTAGAATTTCTTCTTCAAGTTTCACTTTTTTTCAGTTTTTTTGCGATATGACTCAAAATTATAACGGCGTGTATTAAATTGTCAAAGTAAATCATGATGAACTTAATATTTAGCTTCGTTTATGAAGACAATGTACATGATGGGTACTGGATACGCTTGGGTATCAGCAGGTCTGACCCTTTGGAAGAAAAGAGAAAGGAACTCCTGAAGAGATTATCGATCTCTCCAACAAGCGAGTTTTTCATCAGAAAGGGATCCGAACCCATTGATGGAGAACTGTTGGCGTTTTTGAGAATTTTCAACATGAATCAAGGTTTGTAAAATAATATTTTATCAAAAATTGTTTTTTTTTTGTTTTCTGTTTTAACGTGAAGTTTTTTGTCGCATATTTTATTTGCGATCTTACAGTTTTGCACAAAACTAACTAAATAAATTATACTGAAAGATCAAAATACTATTAAATTTGAACAACATTAAGCAAATCAATTAGGAGATGACTATTTCATCTCCATTTTTTGTTTTGGAAAATATTGATCTCTAAACCCTTAAAAAGGTACATTTGTCTAATTCAAGTAAATCAAACCGTTTTTAAGAAATTTTTATACGGAAATGTTTTTGTAGCGTAGCAATACCTATATTTTTCAACATCGATCGCATATGCACTGAAATGTCATACATTTCAGTCAATTTTTATAAAACAAGTAAAAAGGAAAGTAACTTTACACTTTCTAATTGAATTGAACTAAATTAACAAATAACATGACTTGAAATTAAATCTACTAATTGTAAGATGAAATTGAAACTATGTTTGGCAGTTTCTAATTACATTTGGAGAAGATGTTGTGCAATATTATTACATGCAGAATGTCTGATTTGTCAACGGAATAAAATTTTCAAGACCTAATCTTTTACTTTAGCATTTAAGAAACTGATTTCTTTTTTAATTTTTAACAATTGTATTTTTCCGAGACGCTACTGATCTGAGGTGCTAAACTACTGTTTGCGTTCAGAATTTAAATCAGCAGCAGATTAATTAGCACCCCGTGTAGACCCTCGTCGTCCTGCTCAATCGATGTTTACACCAGCACATTATGTACCTAGCTTTTATTAAACGACACCAACTCGTGTTTTATTCGATTGGAATAACGAATTATTGAGAAACATGCAAAAAGCAGTAAACGCTTATAAGTGTGAAATAAAAGTAACAAAATGTAACTACATGACTTCACAATTTCACATGCATAAACTTTTACTTGTACTAGGTACTGAAACCAGAAAAATTTTCACCAAATACCACAAGTTTGGCGGCAACAAGGGCGCCAGCATACTACTTTCTTATTTTTATGAGCAATTCCTCCAATTCTGTGATATTTATCCTCTAAACTGACAGACATAAACAAGGCTAATAGCTAGAACCTGTTATATGTAATAAAATGATATCTGTTTGAAAATTAAAAATATCGCATACAATTGCAGTTAGAAATTCCAGGCATTAGTAATTGCTGGTTTAGAAACTAAAAGTTATTTTAGCAAATATCATCAAACCCATAAAATATTAATTAAGTTTCTAGACATCAACATTGTTAAATAATAGAGTTTTAATTGAGACTAATTATTGTAGGTGTGTTACTTTTACAAATATGTTTTGCAGCGAAAAATCATCATCAATTTGTGGTCGAACTATTTCACATTACCTACTCTGGCATCAAAATAACCAATAATCTAGTGTGTAATTTGTCTACGCTGATACCACACAAATGAGTCTCTATCTACCATTTAGAAATTATGATAAATAGATCTTTTGATATAAGAAAAACATCAACTTTCGCTTTTAGACTACAAGCCCATCGGAAATTTTTAAGAGGTCATTTGACACAACATGAATTACTTATAAATCAATACTACCACATATAACAATAACAGTAGAAACTATGCCGTCAATTCTTGTTGGTACAGGTGAGTACACAGGTAAGCTAAACCTGTCCACCAAAGGGGGGGGGGGGGG